CGCCTTCTGCGTCTTCTAGCGAACCGCCACAGGTAGCGGCCCGTCGTGGCCGCCTACAAGGCGCACCACCACCACCAGATGCGGTTGACGAAGGAGACCGACTGCGGAGAGCTACAAGGAACCCTCTTGCCTCCACCGGCTCGGGGGCTCCACGACTACCCGACTGGGCGAGATTTGACATCCAACACAGCCTGCAAAATCTCCGTAGCCATGAGTTTCACGTCGTTAAAAAGGAACTCCGTAAACTGCACCTACGGTGGCATCATGCGAAGGAACCCAAGATGAGGCTAATCCCTGACAAAGTGGGGCTGGACAACGTTCGACTGAATATGATCAAAGAAGTTTGCGATACTTGTCGGGAATGTAGAGCATGGGAACGTCCAGGAAACTCAACATTACCTTCGGTGAGCCTTCCTGGCAACTGGCTCGACGAAGGCGAAATGGATCTCATGTTTTACAAGAAACGAACCATATTTCACATTATGGATCTTTGTATTCGCCTGGCAGCAGGCCAAGCAATCTCCGACGGAGAACGCGATGCTATACTTGACGCCTACCACTACTGCTGGATTGCCTATCGTGGACCCTTCAAAGTCTTATACTCAGACGGAGAAGGCGCCCTGAACAATGATGCCGCTAAGGCCATGATGGCCAATAAGGGTGCAGAACTCCGCATCCGAGCGCCTGGCCAACACGCGACTTCAATTGAGTCACGAAACGGCATTCTCAGGGGCGCCCTCCACATGATTGAGGAAGAGTTGAATAGACACAACATCCCTGTTGTATTCACTAGGGTACTGGCTGAAGGCATCTTCGTTACCAATGCCTTTACGTTTTACAACGGAGTATCGCCATACCAAGCACACACTGGACGTCAGCCCTCCCTTCCCCCTGACCTCGACACCCTTGACTTTCCCAAGGGGCCCGAGACATCAGGACACGAACGGGAACGCCGTGTGAGGGAAGTTAGCCTAGAAGCCATAACTCAAGCCACTGCTGTGGCCAAGACAAATCGTGCTCTCAAGGCTAAAACGGCTCCTGATGGTGCTCGCCTTTACTCAGCAGGGGATCTGGTCGACTACCATCGACCCACTGCCACTACGGACGATCATGGAGGCTGGAACGGCCCATTCCCGGTGATCCGTAACGTGCCTGAAAGAGGACATATTGTTGTCAAGGCAGGATCTCGTGAGGTAATTGTGATGTATCCTGATGCTCGTCACGCACTATACATTGAATGTCTCCTCGCACGGGAACTTGGCATGGATAGTATGGCCATGCAAACCGTCCTTACACATGTGGCACACCTCGGTGCAGGGAAACCTGCCAAAGTCTTCGGCTACATCCCAGACTACAAGGGAAACCTCAATCTTTCAGACGACAGCAAGTTTCACCCGCGCGTACATCTAGCACTACAGTATCTCGTGCGAAATTATTTCCGAGTAGAACACGTAGTAGCAGTTAGGTTGGCCAGAAGTGTGTCAAGTCTACTTGTAGTAAAGTACGCCACGGGGTCTACGCTGATCCACTACGACAACGATATCAGCCCAGCCTTCCACTACTATGAGTGTGTGGGCACTGGCCTGAACATTTCTCAAATCACTGGTAGCACTCATTCCAGACTTATCCAATGCTTGACTTCACGTGTCCCTTCCTTGGGATTTCACGACGACTTGGCCAAATATCAGCACTCAAGCACCACGTCTGGAGAACACGATTCGCCTGGAAACAGGCCTCCACCAGATACCCCAGGTGCTTCATCGCCGAGTGAAGGCCGTCTGTCGACAATCTACGAAGAAAACGAGGAACATAATATCGAAGCTATGATACTGGAAGAGTGGAACGACGAGTTACGTATGGACCTTCATCCCACGACAGCTACCGACGATTATCTCTACTGCGTCCCAACAACCATGCTGCCCGACCAATGTGCTTTGGTTTCAGCATCTGTGGACGAAGGAGATATCGCATTGTCGGAACCGCTCGGAGACGAGCCTGATCCACGAGAGTCCTGTCTAGTCTCTCTGCTCAACCACACCTGATGAGAGCTACTCTCTTGACAGTGATGAATATGGTCCCTATGTTGAGTTATGTTTTACATCAGACATGTCAAAGGTAGTGTTGGATCAGACTCAACTTGCACAGCTCGACGCTGATATGGTCGCAACGATGAGGGTATATGCATCCTCTGCTGCTAAACGTGCTGTGGTAGTCAAGGAAGATGACCTACTCACCAAAGCCGACATAGCAGCACACCCAAAAGAGGTTAGTGAAGCTTTATACACTGAACTCAAAATCTGGATTGATAACCGATGCTTTGAGATGTATGATTTATCCAAAGCTTCCAACATCATGACATCCAGGTATGTATATAAGTGGAAGTTTGTGAAGGTGGGCACCGAGAACGTTAAAACCATTCGTCTCAGTTTTGTCCTTCGTGGATTTATGGACACTGAGGCTTTCGATGTGGAAACTTTCTCGGGAACCGCCCGAAGGCAGTCCCAGAGACTCCTGGCAAGGGAGGCGGCATGCCATCCAGAGTGGATCTTAGCATCCATGGATATCGATAAGGCGATCCTCAAGGGTCTGACCTATGAGGAACTTGCCCATGCCACCGGCGAGGAAACTCGCATGGTTTGCATCGCCCTTCCACCGGGAAGTGCCCAGGTACTTCGTACACTACCCGGCTTTTCATCCCATGACGAAAGCCGACGCTGCCTCAGGTGCCTCAAACCAGGAACGGGTACAAAGGACGCCCCAAGAGCGTTCTCTCTCAAACTTCGTACGGCCACACGAGCTATAGGCCTTACACCGACCAGTTATGATCCTGAGTTTGAATTCAGCCAAGATTTGCTAACGGCAAAACATGTCGATGATATTACTATGACAGGCCTAGAGAAATATATGGACGACTATGTACAACGTGTCGAAAAGGTGTTTGGCAAATGCAAGCTTAACAAACTTTCATATACGAACTGCACCGTTCGCTACACCAAGAATGACCAAGGAGATGTGATCATGGATCAGGACGAGCACATCAAACAACTACGTCCTATCACGCACCCAGAACTTACAGGAGCGGCGGCCGATGCCAAAGCCACGAAACTCATTACCGACATGTTCGTCAGCTTGCGAGGAGCCCTCGCCTATGTCCTTCTTACTCAAATCTGGCTCATGGTATACGTGGTCTCTCTCTAGAAAATCCAAGAGCCCACCAACCTACAAGTCAGACGACTGAATGCTGTGACGCGAAAGCTGATCAGCAGCCCGAAGCGCATCACCTTCCCTCGGATGAAGCCGACGAATGATGTCGACATACACAGCGATTCGGGGGCTCACCGGGGAGGAGGATGATGAGACCAAGGGCTACGGCACACGCGGGGCCAATGTGCTACGGCGAGGAAACTCGCCTCAAGGCAAATCCGTCGTTCACCTCTGTGACGGACTATGCAAATCACACCAACTGCAGGTGAGGTCCAGCTATTCTGCGGAGGCACTCGCAGCTGCGCATAACCTCGATGAGTGTTACCCTACGCTCATCACTCTCCACGAGCTCAAGGCAGGGGCTCTGACTCCACGACAACTACGAGATATGCGTGAAGTTGGTGGCCGAGCCATTAAAGTATCTCTTACCATAGACGCTGAGTCTGTTTATAAATCAATATCAAACAGTGATCTTAAGATACCGACAGAACGGACTCTGCTTGGACATATCAGTTGGATACGTGAGCTCATGGATATAGGTATAGTACATAACGTTCAGTGGTGTGGTACTATAGATATGACCGCAGATGGGCATACAAAGGGAAGCATCGATCGGGAGCTGCTTTTGGCAGTGATGTCAGGCACTCAGTCATTCAAGTATGACGTGAAGCAGTTTGTTCCCTTTTCGGGGTCCCGAGGACAGAAACAAACCCAAGTCTAATCAATTTTAGTCTGTCCTTGTTGCCCCCCCGCGGTCCAATTTGCCAGCATGGGCGTCTACTACAGAGGCGCCCTTCTAGTTGCTCGGAAACGAGCCTTACATTTCACGCCTGGCAACGAGCCGGCTTTATATGATTCAGGCTCTTTGCCTTATTGCCTGTTTGCTCCGTGAGGTATGGCCCGTTTGGCTTACCTCTAGCTGAGCCGATAGCCCTTCATCGTCCGAAGGGGGTATCTTGTATTTGCGTGAAATGCTTTGCGAGGGAACTCGCCTTACAGTCTGGTGTTAGGCCAGACTGTACACACAGTTTTCTTTATTGCAAACAGTTGTGCGCGCGACCTTTGTAGAGCCTAACGGCTGCGCGGCTATACTCTCCGTCTCCTCCCCTCCCGACTTTAAGGGCAGCTCTTTGGGATATGTTATAGTATCGGGAGTATAGCTCGCGCGCCGTTGCCTTTGGCTCAAGGCACGCGCGCCCTATTTGCCCGGACACTTACATTAGTGTTCGCTATGTGCTGGAAAGACCGATACACCGATCTTGTCCTATCTTACCCATCCACTCCCCATATCGTATTCCTTCGACATGGAATTGGATGCAATGTGAGCTCATCCGCCTCCCATGGAGACGGATGCTATTTGACCTGCCAGGCTCACTTTAGACTCAGTGCGCCTCGGGTTTTTGTTGGCACGGGGAGCCCGAAGCTCCAAGCTGCAGTGGATATGGACACGAGGTTTTCAGCACCCCGCCCCCCCCCCCCCGAGGAGCCCTCCGAGCAGCGCGGCACGCCGCCCCGCGCCCGCGGCGGCCATGCTGGCCCCGGGGCCGTCGGGGCGCGTCGGGGCGGGGGGAGCCGCCGTCAAAGCGCGTCGCTGGATGCGATGGGGAGGCGCAAGGGCGGCCTCCCTCCTCCTCCTCCTCCTCCTCCTCCTCCTCCTCCTCCCCCCTCTCCCTCCTCCTCTCCCCTCCTCCTCCTCCTCCTCCTCCTCCTCCTCCTCCCCCTCGCTCTGCTCTGGAGCTGCGGGGGGGGCCGTGGTGCCCGTCTTGCTCCCCGACGGACGGCCCCGGCGCCCGCAGGCTCGACCCCCCTGGCGGTCTACCTGCTGTCCGGGGCCGTCGGCGAGTTCTGCGGCTCGATCGTGCGGGCGCCCATGGAGGCCAGACCGCCGCTCCCTCCCCGCCCTCGCCGTGCGCCTCCTCCTCCCTTTCCCTCCTCCTCTCCTCCTCTCCCTCCTCCTCCCTCCCCCTCCTCTCCTCTCCTCCTCTCCTCCTCCTCTCCTCCTCTCCTCCTCTCCCTCCTCCCTCCTCTCCTCCTCTTCTCCTCCTCTCCTCTTCTCCTCCATTTCCCTCCTCTTCCCTTTCCCTCCTCCTCTCCTCCTCCCGTTCCGTCCTGCGGCAGCGCAGAGCAGACCTGCACCCATCTCCCGCACCAGCCAGCACAAGACGAGAATCAACCAGATTAGGGGAACAAAAAGTACTCGGAGGTCCGCGCGCATTTCTCGGATCGGCGCTGGGGCCCCCCCGGCGGCGCCTCCGGCGCCGTCCTTGGCGCGCTCCGCGCGCCAGGGAGGGGGGTCCAGTGCCGATCCGGGAAATCCGCGCGGACCTCTGAGTATTTTTGTTTATGCCACTTTGTTTCCCTACAGATGACACCACATGCGTTCAACCTGCTCAGCAGGCACCATCTCATGGCCGAGGCCTGAGAACGACTCCGCCCACAGCTGAACCGCACATCATCCACGAACGATCACACACACCGTTGCGCAGCCCCCCCTTCGCACGAGAATGCCGACTGCAAGGTTTTCCCCCCTCCACAGGCACGTATGCACACAGGCACGTTTTCCTTAAGCACACAGACATGTTCTCCTTAAGTCGGGCATGTCCCTCTACAGGAGGAATCTTCAAAAACAATCAAAAAAAAGTCGGGGGACCATTTTTGGACGATTCTTGAGCATTTGGGAGTATTTGTTGAGTCTTTTTTATTTTTCGGTCAACATCTCCTTGTAGGGGGACAGGACCGACTTAATGTTTTCCCCATGCGGTCGTATACGTAGAGGCCACGGCTTCGCCCGCCTCGCCTCAGAGAGGTCCGGAGGATGCTCCGCCTTGGTGATTCGCTCTCTCGCTCGCTCTCTTGCTCGCTCGCTCGCTCCTCCTCCTCTTCCTCCTGCTCCTCCTCCCCCTCCTCCTCCTCCTGCTCCTCCTCCTCCACCTTCTGCTCCTCCTCTCCTCCTCTTCCAGCGCGAGGGGGGTCGAGCCTCGCACATTCGAGTGGGCTCCCTCGATCACAAGCCTGTGGACAAAAACATCCTCTGGACTTCATCGTCTTCGCACCCCTCCCCCATCCTGGGAGCAGGAAGCGCAACACCACCACCACCTGAGGCGAGTCAGGATGAGCTGGTGTGCGGGATGCGGGTGTGCACGATGTCCCGCGAGAGCGCACGACATACACTACCATCACCACCCCTGACTATCCTCTGTCTCCATCCTCCAGGTGGTGGTGGTGGTGGTGGTGGCGGTGGTGGTGGTGGTGCGTTTCCGTCCCCTTGCCATCCCGATCTTGAGTTGGCTCGGTGCGTGGCCGTCTTGGGCGGCGGCGCAGGTTGCAGTCTCATCGGCTCCAGTGGAGTTCGGGCAGGGACACAGCGACACCGAGCTGCTGCGCCGTCGAGCAGTGTCGGTGGTTCCTAGAGGTGCCCCCTGGCCCAGAGGTGCCCCCAGCATTTACACCGAGGCCACCCACGGCCTCCAGAGTGCCCCTCACGAGGCCCAGAGGGCCCCAGGGGGTTCCAAAATGGAGCAAATCGCTGGAGACACCCTGGGCCAGGGGAACCTTTAGCAACTCCCGACGTGAGGTGATCCAAGGGGCAGCTGGCGCCACCGTTTCTGGCCGCGCTGCGGCCTGCACTGCGCACGACGTGGCGCCGTGGACTCGCGGGCCTTGGAGCGAACATGGCGGTCCCCACCCGCGATCTTGTCCTGCGCGCAAGAATCGGTGGGGCGCCGATATAATCACCAGCGCCGCCGATGGTCTGAAGCCCACCGCGCTGGATGGGGGCGCGGGGCAATGGACGGTCCCTCCTCGGTGAGTGAGCCTGGATTTGAGGCGAGCGGTGTGGCGCGTCGTTGACGGAAAGGGCAGATCCCCCCCTCTTGTCCGACGAGTGCGCGCGGACCCTTCGTGGGCCCCGGAAACGGCAGGACCGTTTGTTGATTTTTATTCATAATATACTCGCATAGTGGTAATGGAAATGTCGAACAAACATGCTCATCGAATTGCAAGAAATTCTCCAACGAAACGGCATGGGCAGTCCAGGGATCTAAGGGACGTTCGGAGCCAGTTCGAAAACGACTCGGAACCAGGGACGATAGAACATCGGTGATTTGCACCAGGCCAGCGGTTAAATCACGGTGCGGCAACGCCAAAGAAGCGGCGCCTGAAATGGTAAAATCTGATAAACGAAACGGTCAAGCACTGGCCTCGTCGTGACTACGGCCGGTATCGCCGCCACGCGCGGTTGGCCTTCCGGGCCACTTCGGCGGGGCCGTGGACGCGCGCGCGGCACGCTGCTGCATCGGATTCGTCAGGCGTCGCAAGGATCGGCAACGGCCATTCGGAGGTCTTGGTTATGTATACGTGTATATATATATATATATATATATATATACACGCACTTCCATAAGGGCTTCGCACCCTGTCGCCGACCCCTTCTCTACCAGAACGGGATATATCAGAGCCGCGTCGGTGTGTCTCTCGGCGCTGCCTTGGCGCGTCTGGGAACATCATGCGGGGGCGGCTAGGAATCATCGGCGCAGATTTAGGCTTTGGCGTTATCCTGGTGGCCTTCGACCCATCCCGCCACCTTCCTGGGTTGTTGGTCTGAGGCCTATTGTGCATGTGTTGGGGCTTCGTAGGGAGCCTCTCTGGGAATTCTTGGGAACGGTTTGGGCGCTTTTTGTGGGCTTTTTTTTAGGGGGGGGGGAATTTTTGAAACTCCCGCCGGTCCGCTCTTCCCATGCGCGATGTCGCCCGGAGGGCTTCAGCACAGGTTTAGTCCGCAGCGCCTTGGCTTTGATGGGGGATAGCCGTAATTTCTAAGTAACGTTGGCTAGTGCGGAAGGGCGGCCCTGAAATTTCGGCTGTGAGCCCGTCTTACAACATGCCAAGCTTCGGGAAGGATATTGCTCCCTCGGGTGTTCGTCGTCGTCCCCCTTGTCCACCCGCGGAGGCCGTCAAGTCTCGCGTCCAGACGGGGATGGACGCCTCCACGCTGGAGTCAGCGCAGATCGTGGTGGGCACCGAGGCCCGGGGCTCTACCAAGTCGGGACCCTGAAGAAGGAACCCTTTTCGTTGGGGAGGGGCTCCGTGTTCCTTGATTGCTTCACAGTTTGCCTTGGGTTTTGCTTTGGCTTTCGATGGGACATCGAAGTCAAACTTGGGGATCTAAGGGGCCTCGCTCCTTATTTGGGGTTCCTTGGGTCAACGCTCCGACTGTACCAAGTCGGGACCTGCATCGAAGAAGAGCAGACGCCATCCACAAGAGCTTTCCTGGCTGCCCTCTCACATAGGGACCCGACTCTAAGAACAACAAAGGGGCATCAGCGTCGGCTTTCGGGGCTCCTCGGCGCTGGACATTCCTTCCTGGCTCCGCGGCAGGGGGAGGCAGGCGGAGTGCCCCTGCGGCATGCGCTCGCCTCTGCGGCAGTGGCCCGAGAGAGTCTGCCATCTCGGCATCGGTGCGCTTTTGCTTGGCATATCGCTCGGACGTGCGCACTTCTTCTCGGCGGGGACTCGTACGGAGCATCTTGGATCATCCTGCGAAAAAGCCACGCACGATACCGGAAAAAGCACGGGGAATGGACTTAAGTCGGGCCTGTCCCTCTACAGGGGGAATATTGAAAAATCGTCCAAAAATAGTCTGGGGACTATGTTTGGAGTATGTTTTGCCAAATGTTTGGGGTACTTTGTATTCTTCGCCGAAATTCCCCCTGCAGGGGGACCACGCCCGAATTAAGGATGGACGTCCGAGCGATGGCAAGCTTGCGGCGGGATCCACGGTCAAGCAGTGGCGAAGCGTCTTGGCTCGCCTATAGCCCTACCAAACAATGTTCTAAGAACCTTTTGTGGCTCCCACGAAGTGTTCTTAGAACATGTATGGCGGAGTCTGTCTTGCTTGAACACATCGGGTTTATGTTCTAAGAACATTATTTGGGTAGGACTATGGGAATGCCGGGACGGTCGGTCCCTGCTCAACACTGGAGAGAGTGCCCCCGCGGGGCACGGTGTTGTTGTTTGCCCCCGCGGCAGGGGCCTTGGGCAGGAGCGCCCCCTGCGGCGGGGAGGCCCCCGCGGAGGCCCCCCTTGGCGGCGGCCCCGCGCGCCAAGGAGGGGAGCCCAGCGCCCCCCTAAAAAAACAAGAGCACACTAACAATCCAAACACACACACACACAAAAAGCTCAACTCAACAAAAAAACAATACAAACATACAAGCAACAAACAATACATACTAAAGTACAACAAATCAGTACAATCAAATATCCAGAAAAGGAAGGAACGAGCAAATCGAACAAACAACAATACAAACGAACTATAACAACGGGGAGTCCCAGCGCCGATCCAAGACATCCGCGCGGACCTCCGAAAGTTGTTTGCGTGTACAGTCAAGGCGCTGAAATAAGGGACAGCTTGGGTTCGGAAGGGGCTCGATGTTCCTTGGGTTCGTCCAGTGCTGTTCCTCGTGTTCTCCTGGGGCACGAAGGCGCTTCAGGGCCAAGAAGGGGCTTCGTCCCTTACTTAGCGTCCCTGGTCGCAATGCCGTCCAAGGAGCTGGTGTTTTTGCGCCAAACGTGCGTCTGCTGAGGGGTCTACCCCCTCAGCTGTACCAAATCCCTCACCGCTGGGTCGCCTCCCCAGTGGTGTTGATACTTTCAGGGGTTAAAGCGAGTTAAAAAAACAACAACAAAAAACAAATCATTGGCCCGACGGTAGCTCCTTCCCTCCTTCCCTTCCGGGCACAGCACAGAGCCGCGGCCACAGCTGTGCGGATGTTTTGCGAGGGTCCCTCCTCCTCCTCCTCCTCCTCCTCTTCCTCCTCCCTCCTCCTCCTCGGTCCCTCGGGGGAGAGCCCGCCCACCCCAGCACGCGCACCTCGCCCATATGGGGCCGTGGCCGCTCGGGCCGGCCCTGGGCGCCACGCCGACCACGGCCAGCACGACGCCTGCTGCGGTGCTCCGGCAAGTCTTCACCAGCCTCGAACTTATCCCTGGACGCCCGAAATGGGTACGGAAAGAATGGGTACGATGCCCAACAGCAGTTCCTGATCGTTTTGAACAGGACTCGCTGTCCGCGCCGCCGCGGCCTGTGTCCATTCGAGACAGGAGGCCGCCCGCCCAACAGCGGCCGCTGTTGGTTTGGGACAACATTTGTTGTTGGGCATTGTACCCATTCTTTCGGTACCCATTTCGGGTGTCCAAATTATCCCTATCCCTAAGATTGACACGCCGAAAGGCGATGGCAATCTCAGGGATGCGCCCTCAAAAGCTGAGGGAATCCCCAAGATTGGCATCGTGATGGGGCGATGCCCAGCATAGGGATAGGGATATGTTCCAGGCTGGTAAAGTTTGGCATGCGCAAGGCTCGGAGGTGGACAGACCTCCTACCCTGGCACGTCGATTCAGGAATCGGCCGTTTCCGGCTCGCGGGAGGGCGTCGTGGCCGTCATTGTTGCGGGTCCGGCCTGGGACCGAAACCGACGGACCTGGACTCCAGGTCCGTCGGTTTCGGTCCCAGGCCGTTTTCATTAAGGGGAGGTTTACTGAAAGACGGCCCCACGGGGTGTATCCTCGAAGTGGTCGTGGTCGCCAACTGTGACGAACGAACAACACACACCCATACCCATAGGGAGGTCGGAGGGAGGAGGACTGGCTATGGGTATGTTATGCGAGTTGTCGGACCCCTGGGGAGGCTCCCGTTCGAGCGGGGACCCCCATCCCACGACAACACGCACTCATAGCTCATTCCGTGTCCCCCCTATGGGTATGGGTACGTATTGATCGTTCGTCAAACTGTCCCCGCGTGCCTCTGCCGGAGGGCGGGTCGAGAGCGGGGCCTCGGGGCCCCGCCTCGGCGGTGCGGCGCGCACCAAGGAGCCCGGCGCTGCGTGCCAGCGCCCCCACAGCACCCAGGGATCCAGTCTGCGTCCCTGGGACGTGCTCGTTTTTCGGGCCGGACGAAAGAGGGGGAATTGGGGAAAGGGGGGGTTACGAAATTTGCTGCATGCAGCTGGTTTCGGCCTCACTGAGGAGCCCATTCCTCGATACATAGCCGCCTCCGGCGCCGGGAGGCGCTGGGAAAATCAGCTGCGTGAGCTGATTCTCAAGCCCCCCCTTTGCTATCCCCCCCTTTCGCCCGACCCGAGTTTTCTGGGGGCCAGAGGAGTATCCTGGATCACCTGGCGGAAAAACGGACGCCCGACACCGAGCGATGCACGGTGAGTGGACGTCCGAGCGATGGTGCGTCCTTGGTGCACCCCATTCGCCGATGCAAGAAATCCGCGTGGCCTTCCGAACGTTCATGTTCATGCTTGTTTGGTCCCTCCACCTTTCCTTGAGTCGGGCCTGTCCCTCTACAGGGGGAATGTCCAAAAATACTTAAAAAATAGTATGGGGATTATTTTTGGAGTATTTAGGGTCATCTTTTGAGTACTTTTGAGTATTCTTTAGTCTCTTGCACAGGGTGTCTAGAGCTCCGACCACTTTATTTCGGCGTCGTCGTCGCTCCCCCCAGCTGCCTTGTGCCCTTCATGTGTCGCTATATGTGTCGCTGTGTGCCTTGTGCCCTTCATGTGCCGCTATATGTGTCGCTGTGTGTCGCTATGCGTCTCCATGTGTGCGTCGCTATGTGTCGCTGTGTGTCGCTATGCGTCGATATGTGTGTGTCGATATATGTCTCTATATGTCGATATGTGTCGACATGTGTCGCTATGTGTCGTTCCCCAGCACCCCAGCGCACCGCCCCCTCCGCCCCGACGACTTTATTTCGGCGTCGTCGTCGCCCCCCCCCCCTCTCCCTCTCCTCAGCAGCCCAGCGCGCTGCCCCCCCGCCCCGACCACTTTATTTCGGCGTTGTGTCGACATGTGTCGCTATGTGTCGCTCCCCAGCACCCCAGCGCACCGCCCCCTCCGCCCCGACGACTTTATTTCGGCGTCGTCGTCGCCCCCCCCTCTCCCTCTCCTCAGCAGCCCAGCGCGCTGCCCCCTCCGCCCCGACCACTTTATTTCGGCGTTGTGTCGACATGTGTCGCTATGTGTCGCTCCCCAGCACCCCAGCGCACCGCCCCCTCCGCCCCGACGACTTTATTTCGGCGTCGTCGTCGCCCCCCCCCCCCCTCTCCCTCTCCTCAGCAGCCCAGCGCGCTGCCCCCCCGCCCCGACCACTTTATTTCGGCGTCGTCGTCGCCCCCCCCGGTCCTTTTCCCCAGCAGCCCAGCGCCCGCCCTCTCCGCCCCGACCACTTTATTTCGGCGTCGTCGTCGCCCTATTTCGGCGTTGTGTCGACATGCCTCGCTTTCCACAGCAGCCCAGCGCACCGCCCTCTCCGCCCCGACCACTTTATTTCGGCGTCGTCGTCGCCCTATTTCGGCGTTGTGTCGACATGTGTCGCTACGTGTCGCTCCCCAGCACCCCAGCGCACCGCCCCCTCCGCCCCGACGGTTTTATTCTCTTGCGCAGGGTGTCTAGAGCTCCGACCACTTTGTTCCGGCGTCGTCGTCGCTCCCCCCAGCTGCCTTGTGCCCTTCATGTGTCGCTATATGTGTCGCTGTGTGCCTTGTGCCCTTCATGTGCCGCTATATGTGTCGCTGTGTGTCGCTATGCGTCTCCATGTGTGCGTCGTTATGTGTCGCTGTGTGTCGCTATGCGTCGATATGTGCGTGTGTCGATATATGTCTCTATATATCGATGTGTGTCGACATGTGTCGCTATGTGTCGCCCCCCCAGCCCCCCAGCGCACCGCCCCCTCCGCCCCGACGATTTCATTTCGGCGTCGTCGTCGCCCCCCCCCTCTCCCTCTCCTCAGCAGCCCAGCGCGCTGCCCCCTCCGCCCCGACCACTCTATTTCGGCGTTGTGTCGACATGTGTCGCTACGTGTCGCTCCCCAGCACCCCAGCGCACCGCCCCCTCCTCCCCGACGACTTGATTTCGGCGTCGCCGTCGCCCCCCCCCCCTCTCCCTCTCCTCAGCAGCCCAGTGCGCTGCCCCCTCCGCCCCGACCACTTGATTTCGGCGTTGTGTCGACATGTGTCGCTATGTGTCGCTCCCCAGCACCCCAGCGCACCGCCCCCTCCGCCCCGACGACTTTATTTCGGCGTCGTCGTCGCCCCCCCCCTCTCCCCCCTCCTCAGCAGCCCAGCGCGCTGCCCCCTCCGCCCCGACCACTTTATTTCGGCGTCGTCGTCGCCCCCCCCCGGTCCTTTTCCCCAGCAGCCCAGCGCACCGCCCTCTCCGCCCCGACCACTTTATTTCGGCGTCGTCGTCGCCCTATTTCGGCGTTGTGTCGACATGTGTCGCTTTCCCCAGCAGCCCAGCGCACCGCCCTCTCCGCCCCGACCACTTTATTTCGGCGTCGTCGTCGCCCTATTCGGCGTTGTGTCGACATGTGTCGCTACGTGTCGCTCCCCAGCACCCCAGCGCACCGCCCCCTCCGCCCCGACGACTTTATTTCGGCGTCGTCGTCGCCCCCCCCCCCTCTCTCCTCAGCAGCCCAGCGCGCTGCCCCCTCCGCCCCGACCACTTTATTTCGGCGTCGTCGTCGCCCCCCCTGTCCTTTCCCCCAGCAGCCCAGCGCGCCGCCCTAGAGTGGGGCCCCCGCGCCGTGGCTCTCTGCCCCAAGCCCCCCGCGTCCCCAGCGCCCCAGCGGGGGCCCCGCCCACTGCCCCCTCCGCCACGAACGCTTTATCCCGCGTCGCCCCCCCCGCCCCCCCGCGTCCCCAGCGCCAGTGTGAGGCCCACGCGCCGTGGCTTTCTGCCCCGAGCCCACCGCGTCCCCAGCGCCCCAGCGGGGGCCCCGCCCACTGCCCCCTCCGCCACGAACGGTTTCTCCCGCGTCGCAGCTCCCCCCCCTCCCCCGCGTCTCCAGCGCCAGTGTGGGACCCCTGCGCCGTGGCTCTCTGCCCCAAGCCCCACTGCGTCCCCAGCGCCCCAGCGGGGCCCCCGCCCACTGCCCCCTCCGACACGAACGCTGTATTACGCGTCGCACCCCCCCCCTCCGCGTCCCCAGCGCCAGAGTGGGACCCCCGCGCCGTGGTTCTCTGCCCCGAGCCCCCCCGCGTCCCCAGCGCCCCAGCGGGGGCCCCGCCCACTGCCCCTTCCGCCACTAACGCTTCATCCCGCGTCGCGCCGCACACCACCTCCCCCACCTCCCTCCCCGCGTCCCCAGCGCCCCAGTGGGGACTCCGCCCCGTGCCCCCTCCGCCCCGACAATTTTATTCCGCGTCGCGACGCACGCCACCTCCCCCCCTTCCCCCCCTTTCCCCAGCGCCCCAGTTGGACCCCCGCCCCGTGGCCCTCTGCCCCAAGCCCCGCCCAGTGCCCCCTCCGCCCCGACAGTTTATTCCGCGTCGCGGCACACACCACCCCCCCTCCTCTCCGCGCCCCCAGCGCCCCAGTGGGACCTCCGCCCCGTGCTCCCTCCGCTCCGAGCACTTTATTCCGCGTCGCGACGCACGCCGCCTCCCCCACCCTCCCCACCTGGGACTTGGGCCCCGTTGCTGGGCCCAGAGGGCGATGCCTTGCCCCCTCTTCCCCCCTCCTCCTCCACCTCCTCTCCTCTTCCTCCTCCTCCTCATCCTCCTCCTCCTCCTCCTCCTCCTCCTCCTCCTCCTCCTCCTCCTCCTCCTCCTCCTCCTCCTCCTCCTCCCCCTTCCTTTTTTGTGCAAGGGCTATGGCACACGTGCCACTTGTTTTTCGTCCACAATCCGCCTGTAGGGAGACAGGTCCGACCTAAACCTTTCCCCCTCTGCAGCTCCGTTCCCCTCGCCCCCTCTCCGGATCAGGGACTGCCCCAGGGGGTGGGCGGGCTCGGGGAGGAACGCATCGACTTCCAGGCAGCGCCCATTCACGCCGATGGGGGCCCGAGGCGTGCGCGTTCGCTATTCGGGGGCCTATCGGCGATACTCAGGAGGGAAAGAAACACACAGACACAATCAATCGTCGATTCCCAGGAGGATATGGGAACATATGGGAAGTGGTGGGGAAGACAGAAACCCAGAAAGTATACGAAAATATGGGAATATTTCTATTTGTGTGTATTTATTTGTGTGTCCTGGGGCCCCTTCAGATACATCGGCGACATATCGCCGATGCCAGCTCGATGTCCCCCCCCTCTCTTGGCCTCGCCCCCCGATCGTTCCCCTTCATTCGGGGGATCGCAAGCACTGATCAAGGCGCGTGCACTGGCGACGGGTCCCGTTCCAGTGCGGAATCTGTTCGCTCCGTCGCCGAATGAGTCAGCACTGGTCGACCGTGGGTGGATACCTTCCCCCACTGTGCACGGATCCGCTGTTCATGGCAATGCGTGCCCGGCTCGGAGCCCGCGCCCCTCTGCAGTCCCGCTGCGTGAGCGCGCCCTCGCGCGCGCCTCTCCTGCGGCCGCCCTCCCACCATCCTTCCCCTTTGCTTCGGATGCAACTCCTGCAGGAGGTCAAACTCTGATTTCGCCCTGGTCCGAAGTCTGGCTTGATGAGGCTCAATCCCGCTGAATCGGGCTTAATCCGGCTTAAAATCCCGCTTAATCCGAGGCCCACTCCGGCGTAAGAGCCCCCCAATGGGGCTCAATCCCCCTTACTCTCGGGCCAGACGAGAGGGGGGGATAGGGAAAGGGGGGGGGTACGAAATCTGCTGCACGCAGCTGGTTTCTGCCCCGCCGCCAGGCCCATTCCTCGATACATGGGCGCCTCCCGGCGCCGGGAGGCGCCGGGAAAATCAGCTGCGCGAGCTGATTCTCAAGCCCCCCCTCTGCTATCCCCCCCCTGTCGCCTGGCCCGATCATCCTTCCGACGAATACCTCCCAGCAGTTGCCTTCTAATCCTGCATGTGGGTTAACTCTCGATCCTGCGCGCGTGTGTCGCTGGGACGGCGCGTGCGGATCGCCCCTGCCGCGCTGCGACGACAAAAACAGGGAGGGAAGAAGCACACAGACGCAAATCATCGTCGATTCCCCAGAAAAAATGTGGGAAACTATGGGAAGTGGGGGGGAAGACAAAAGCCCCGAAAACATGGGAACCTATGAGGAATCCTGTGACCTGTGTCTACTTATTTGTGTGTGTACTTATTGAATCGCTTCGCTCATTCCGCCGGCCCGTGATATGGCATCGCTGGTTTTTGTCTGTGTGTTCGTTGCCCATGTTGCGCTCTTGGGGGCGGGTGTCGTTCGGACGCGTTGCGTGGGGAGTTTTGATGGTGAAGCAGTTCCCTGGGGGTCGTCTCTCGATGGGGCGAAATAGAGTCGTCGTCAAGATGCTTCTTTGGGGGGCCTCTTGGGGTCTGTTGAGAGGCCGTTCGGGGGCGCCTGGGAGACATGTTTGAAGCCTTCTGGGGCTTCTTTTGGGCCTCCTGGGAGTCTCCTGGGGCCTCTTGGCGACATCTTGGGGCCTCTTGGAGGCCTCTTGGGGCCTCTTTGGGACCTCCTGGGCGCCTTCTGGGACGGAGGGCTCCATTTTTGAGTTCTCGGTATCCCTCCTGAGTCCCTCTTGGGCCCGTCTTGGGGCCTCTTGGTCCGTCTTGGGCGGCACTTGGGCCGTCTTGAGGGCTCTCTTGGGTCGTTTCGGCGCCGTCTTGGGAGCTTCGTGGGCCGTCTTGGAGCGGTCTTGGGGGCCTCTTGGGCCGTCTTGGAGCGTCCGGAAGCCGAAAAAGCCAGAACACAAAAAACATCGAAAAAAACCAATGAAAATCAACGATTTTGGCCTCTTGGGGCTCTCTTCGGAGGCCTCTTGGAAGGCTCTTGGGGCGTCTTGGAGGCCTCTTGGGCTGTCTTGGGGGCCTTTTGGGCCGTCTTGGGGTCATCTTCGGCGTCTTCGAGCGCTCTTTGGGCGTCTCGGGGGCCTCTTGGGCAGTCTTGGGGGCCTCTTGGGGCACTCTGAGCGCGCTCTGGGGAGCCTGAGAGGCCGCACCCAGAAGGAAAACCATCTCTGAGTAGACTTGGTCGGGCGGCGGTCGGGCGGCAGTCGGGCGTTGGTCGGGGTACTTTTCGCCGGGGGACCCCCAGGGGCCGCCCCGCGCGCGCGAACTAGAAATACTGTTAATACTGTTAACCAGTTACCGGAGATCTTAGCACGCCCTGGCCCGTTGGGCCGGCGAATTTGTATGTGTGTGTGTCCCCTGTTACTTGTGTCTATTTATTTGTGTGTGTCCCAGGGCCCCTTCAAAACAAAAAGATGCCCGGCTCCTTGGGGCGTCCGCAGAGGCCGGCAGGTCCAAGGTCGTGGCGGCCTGGAGCGCCTCGCTCTGGCGCGACATCCCCTTCGGGGCGGTGCAGCTCGCCGTCTTCGAGACCCTCAAGACGTTCATCGTCGAGTCGCCGGACGTGCAGCTGGACGTCGACAGCCTGCCGGTCGAGGCGCTGCCGTCGGGTATAGCGGAGGAGGGGGGGGGAGGAGGAGGAGGGGGAGGAGGAGGAGGAGGAGTGGGAGGAGATGTGATGAGATGAACCAATTGCGAAAGCATGATATGAATAACGACCACAGGGAGAATATTAAGGCCTTGGCTGCCGACGTTGTTCGGCCCTGCTGAGGACCTTTGGGACGAGCCCATTCTTGATGCGGTCGAGATACTCACGCCCCGTACGGGTGGGGGGCGCACAGGGTTTGCCGAGGGACCGAAGCTGCTTATCAGCGATACCCCCGCAACATCCACAAAACCAGGTTTTAAGCACGGTATGATAATTCAGGAAGTGGGATTGGTGCAGCCAGCCCCCCGCTACATGGATCCGCGCCCCCTTGGGGGGGGAAGGATAGTCCCGTCAACATTGACAAGAACAGGACACGGAGGGGGAGGAGGAGGAGGAGGAGGAGGAGGAGGAGGAGGAGGAGGAGGGGGAGGAGGAGGAGGAGAACGAGGAGGAGGAGGAGGAGGAGGAGGAGGAGGATCGGGTATGGCCAGGACCCCATGGTGAGGGGGCCCGGCGAGTGGTAGGGCCCAAGAGCCCCTAAAGTAGCCAGAGTCACGGAGCCAGGTCTTCCGTAGCCAGTGTTTTTGTCGGGTGACGGCAGCTCCGGTTTGTGAAATGGGGCGGGGGGACGTCCCCCGGTGCACATCACCAAAATAGGTCCCTTTAAACCCAGGTCTGCCAGCGCCCGATGCTGGGCGGGCGCGGCAGCTCGAAGGAGAGCAGCGGCGTGCACGCGTCAGCCGGCATGGACCCCGAGCAGTGTGTGGTGGCACGGTGGAGGCTGGATGTGTGCGGTGCAGGTTGTGCCTTGGGCGCTTTGTGGTGTAATCAGAGCCCCGAATCATCAGGGGTAACTCGGGTCAGGGCTAACTCGGGTTCGTTTTTCGGGAATCCGAACCCGACTTACCCGGGACCCGAGTTACCCCGGATAATTCGGGCGTCCAGAACCCCACATCATCAGGGGTAATTCGGGTCAGGGCTAAGTCGGGTTCCTTTTTCGGGAATCCAAACCCGAGTTACCCGGGACCCGAGTTACCCCGGATAACTCGGGCGCCCAATGTAAGGTGTGTGGTGTAAACTATGGAGGTGAGACGTATGCGGTGCATGCCATGTGGTGTAAGCTACGTCGCCTGAGCTAGGCGTTGTAAGTTGGATTTGAAAGCTATGGGCTGTAAGGTATGCTGTGGAATCGACAGGTATGTGTATACATGTATGTATGTATGTATGTATGTATGTATGTATGTATGTATGTATGTATGTATGTATGTAGTATATATGTATGCATGCATGTATGTATGTATGTATGTATGTATGTATGTGTGTATGTATGTATACGTATATGTATACACATGCACATATATGGATGTAGTGATACATGAATGTAAGTATGCGTATGTATCGACTGGCCTTCGTCCCATCACGCCACCGTGCCTGGGTTGTGCGCCAGAGGCCTCAAGGATGTTGGTTGCGGTCTCGTGGCTGGCCTCTCGGTAGCCTCTGGGTCAGCCCATTAGCGGAGCGCTCTCCGCTAATTGGAGCGAATCAACGGACATATCTACGTTCCGGGCCTTCTAACACCTCCTGGAAATACCTAGCAACTGGAAATACCGAATCGAAAATGAGACCAGAGAAAACCCAATCAACGTCTTTTTAGGACTATAGGGTTATAGGGCGATGGAGCTATGGCGCTATAGGGCTATTAGAACTATAGGGCTATAGGGCCATAGGTCTGTAGGTATATCGGGCTATTGGGCTATAGGGCAATAGGGCTATAGGGCTGTAGGGCTGTATGATTCTGTGGCTTTGGGGCTATGGGGCTATAAGGCTTTATGGCCGTAGGGCTATGAGTCTATAGGTCTATGGAGCTATAGGACTATAGCGGTATCGGGCTATGGGGCTGTAGGGCCATATTGCTATAGGCATATAGAGCTATAGGGCTATCAGGCTATAATGCTATAGGGCTATTGGGCCATAGGGCTATAGGTCTTTTCAGCTATAGGGCTATAAACCTATAGGTCGATAGGGCTATAGGGCCGTAGGGCTATAGGCCTAAGGGGGCTATATGGCTCTAGGGCTATAGGGCTGTACGGCTATAAGGGCTATTCGGCTATGGGGCTGCAGGGCCATATGGCTATAAGGCACCCAGGCAGCCGTGCACGCGGGCACCGGGGCACCCGGGCACCGGGGCACCCGGGCGGGCCGCGGAAGTCGGTGACATTCCTCACCTAACCATATGATTCCGCTATGACCCCAACATAGGCAAGTTCGGATTGGGGAGCCTAGAGCCGGTGGGGATGGGCAGCTGTGCTCTCCTGCTCCATCTTGCGGCTTGTCGGGCTAAGCAGTCGCAGTTCAGGCTCTCCTTCCCGAGCTTTGGGCAGCGTCGACAGCGGCACCGACAGCCATTTGTTCCGCAAGCCGATGCCAAAGTATTCGGTCTGAAGGCCCCGTGGTCTTCAGCCTCCTCGATGAGCTGTCGAAGGAAGTTCTCTTCCTGTATCTGAAGCAGAGGTAATTCGCGCTTGATGGCGATGCTTCGACTGAGGATTCTTTCAATTCGCAGGCACATTCTCAGTTAAAGTTCCCCGTTGTCTTCGAGGACGGCATGCAGCCTTTTTACTGTCGCATGAGCAGGCGCTAACTGATGCGCGGTATCAAACCATCGCTGCGTTGTCTCATGAGTTGGATTTGTTTCAGGCTTCTTGCGGTTCTCCTCCGCCGCCTGTTTCTGGTGATTGGCTGGCGCGGAATTTGAAATCGAGTCGGGCCTTCGCAATCTCGGCTGGCAGCTGGCGTCTGTTATCGAGCGCTCGCTTGACAAACTGCTTCAACCCAGACTGGACAAGTTCGCTGCTAACGTCTTGGTGGCGGTGCAAGCTGAACGCCGCCAGTAGGTGGACGCCGTATTTGATGATGTTCGCCATGGTGTACACGACAAGATTGATGGCATGGGAACGACTCTCAAGACCGACCTCGCGAAGTCCGTGGATCCGGCTTTACGCGTGGCGCGAGAAAACCGACCAGACGAACAGCGAACCGCAGCAGGTAAAATCACAGTTTTCTACCAGTGCTCTGGGCGACCCGTTCGTCGAGATGGCGCGCGTTGGATTCACGGTTGGGGCCTCCGTCAACGCGATTGGGCCGTCCAAGATTGAGATGAATGGGAACATCGGTATCGCCCGCAGCTCCAAGGGGGATAGGTTTCAGGGGCAGGCATCAAATTGTGTAAGGCTGCAAATTTGAAGGTTCATTGGTCCCCTGGTCTCCTCTTCGGCTCCTCCTACCTCTGGCAGGCTTCCTGGGTGCTCTAGAAAACCGGGGCCACCATGTTCTACGATATCTGAGCAGGCTGCCGCAATCTACCCTGAAAGCGTGATTCGACTGGCTATTTGTCGGGTGAGATGCTTATGTTTGTACTCATCGATATACATATACGTATACGTTTGACATATATATATGTTTACATGTTGTATAGAAATAGACAGCTACACACATCTACACAACTATATACATGTATGTATGTAGGTATGTATGTATGCATGCATGCATGCATGCATGTGTGTATGTGTACATATATATATATATATATGTGCGCATCATACACACATACGGTTGTGTAAGACCACCCCCGTACTGATGGAAGGTCCCAGTGGGTCCTCTTCGGGATCTCTTGAAGCCGTTTTCAGGCCGTTTGGGGGGCTTCCTGGGCCGTCTTGGGTTTTCTTGGCGCCGGCTTGATCCTTCAGGGCAATCTTGGGGGCCTCGTGGGGCTGTTTTGGGGCGGTTCGGGGGCCCATTTGGGCTGTCCTGGGGCCCTCTGCGGCCGCCTGGAGTCCCTCTGCGATCCCTTCTGGAGCGTCTTGAGGCCGTCTTGGGCCCCTGTTTGGCCGCCCTGGGCTCGTCGTGGGGCCCTCTTGGGCCATCTTGGAGCGATCTCCGTGGCCGCTTCTGCGCTGCGGAGACCGAGGAGCCGAATGTACAAACATTGCGCCGAAATTGCTGGACACTTTGCCTGGCGAAGGACCCGACCAGATGTATTTGTGAGTGCCGGAGGTATGGGCTCGTCTTCGGTGGAGCTCCCTATGGGGCCACCAAGCGCTGCACTGGGCGGGGGAGACGCATGCGAAGTTCGCCACTAGGACCTTCGGTGGAGCTCCCTATGGGGCCACGAAGTGCTGTATTGTGTGGGGGCGACGCATGCGGGCGGTCCGATTGGGGCGTTCGTTGGAGTTCCCTATGGGCCACGGAGCGTTGTGCTGGGCGGGGGAGGCGCATGCGGGCGGTCCCACTGGGGCCTTCGGTAAAGCTCCTTATGGGCCACGAAACGTTGTGCTGGGTGGGCGATACGCATGCGGGCGGCCCCACCAGGGCGTTCAGAAGAGCTCCCTATGGGGCCACGAAACGCTGTGCTGGGTGGGGGAGATGCATGCTGACTTTGCTACTAGGGCCTTCGGTGGAGCTCACTATGGATCATGAAGCGTTGTGCTGGGTGGGGGGGGACGCATGTGGATTTTGCAACTGGGGCCTTCGGTGGAGCTCCCTATGAACCGCGAAACGTTGTGCTGGGTGGGGGAAGCGCGTGCGGACTTTCCCACTGGGGCCTTTTCGTGGAGCTCCCTATGGACCGCGAAACGTTGTGCTGGGTGGGGGGGGCGCATGCGGACTTTGCCAGTGGGGCCTTCGGTGGAATTTGCTATGGGGCCACGAATCGGTGGGGCTCCCTATGGGGCCACGAAACGCTGCACTGGGTGTGCGGAACGCATGCGGGCGGTACCACAGGGACTTTTGGTGGGGCTCCCTATAGGGCCACGAAGCGTTGTGCTGGGCGTGCGTGGCGCATGCGGGCGGTGCCACTGGGGTTTTCGGTGGAGCTCCCGTTGGGGCCACGAAGCGTTGTGCTGGGAGGGGGCGACGCATGCGGGCGGTCAGGTTGGGACCTTCGGTGGAGCTCCTTATGGGGCGTGTGGGTGTGTGGGACGCATGCGGGCGGTCCCGCTGGGTCCTTCGGTGGGGTTCCCTATGGGTACTGGGTGTGCGGGATGCCTGCGGGCGGTCCCAGTGAGGCCGTCGGTGGAGCTCCCTATTGTGCCACGGAACGCTGTACTTGGTCCTGCGTGACGCATGCGGGCGGTGCCACTGAGGCCGTCTGTGGAGAACCTTATGGGGCCACGGAGCGCTGTACTGGGCGGTGCGTGACCCATGCGGGCGGTGGCACTGGGGCCGTCTGTGGAGAACCCTATGGGCCACGAAGCGCTGTACTGGGTGGTGCGTGGCGCATGCGGGCGGTCCCTCTGGGACCTTCGGTGGAGCTCCTTATAGGGCCACGAAGCGCTGTAGTGGGTGGTGCGTGACGCATGCGGGCGATGCCATTGGGGCCTTCGGTGGAGCTCCCTATGGGGCCACGAAGCGCTGCACTGGGCGGTGCGTGACGCATGCGGGCGGTGGCATAGGGGCCGTCGGTTGAGCTCATCATGGGGCCACGAAGCGCTGTACTGGGTGGTGCGTGGCGCACGCGGGCGGTCCCACCGGGACCTTCGGTGGAACTCCCAATGGCGCCACGAAGCGCTGTACTCGCTGGTGCGTGGCGCATCCGGACGCAACCACTGGGGCCTTCGGTGAAGCTATGGGGCAACGAAACGCTGTACTAGGTGGTGCGTGACGCATGCGGGCGGTCCGATTGGGGCTTTCGGTGAAGCTCCCTATGGGGCCACGAAGCGCTGTACTGGGTGGTGCGTGGCGCATGCGGGCGGTCCCACTGGGACCTTCGGTGGAACCCCCAATGGCGCCACGAAGCGATGTACTCGTTGGTGCGTGGCGCATCCGGACGCAACCACTGGGGCCTTCGGTGAAGCTTCCCATGGGGCCACGGAACGCTTTCGGTGGAGCTCCCGTTGGGGCCACGAAGCGTTGTGCTGGGTGGTGCGTGGCGCATGCGGGCGCAACCACTAGGGCCTTCGGTGGAGCTCCCTATGGGGCCACGAAGCGCTGTACTGGGTGGTGCGTGACGTATGCGGGCGATCCGATTGGGGTCTTCGGTGGAGCTCCCTATGGGGCCACGAAGCGCTGCACTGGGCGGTGCGTGACGCATGCGGGCGGTCCGATAGGGGCGTTTTCGGTGGAGCTCCCGATGGGGCCACGCAACGTGTGAGGGGTGTGCTGAAACGTGTGATGGTCATGAAACGCAGTGAGGAGGGAGGAGGGGGAGGAGAGGAAGAGGAGTGAGGACGCGGGGCGGTGTCTCTTCAAAACGAGGACCCAACACCACAGGATTGTTGGGAAAAGCCATTTTGGCTCCCCGGGGGCCTCTTGGGAGTCGTCTTCGGGCACCCTTGGGTCATCTGGGGAGCCCGTCGGGCCGTCGAGTGGTTATTTTGGGTTTTCTTGGGCCCATTTTTGCGTCTGGGGGCGCTTGTCGGGCCCTCCTGAGCTTCCTGGGGCCCTCCAGGGCCGTCTTGGGGCCATGTGGAGCCGTCTTGGGCTGTCCAGGCGCGCTCTGGACCCAGCGGCCTGCACCGGGACCGAAGTTTGGCCAGCCAGATCAGTTTGCTACGTAGTACTAAGTATTATAATGATTATGCATGTTATCAGTAGTATCAACATTGATTTTTTGTTTCGTATTCGTATTCGTGTTGTTTTACTCGTATGCTTATTCGTATTGTTATCCTATTACTATAAACATACATTTTACATATGTACATGTATATACATGTGAATATATATATATATATATATATATATATATATATATATATGTATTGTTAGTACAGTGCATCGGCGGTTTACGCTATGTGGTGTAACGTGTGCGGACAAGCTGCGTCGCAGAAGCTCAGGAGCACAGGGGAGGCCCACCGGGCACCCGCGGGGCGGCACCGGCGGCAGCGCGGTGCGGCCTCGGCCCCCCTCTCCAGCGCACGGGGCCCACGAAGCGGCGCCCACGATGCGGCGCGCGCGGCCGCGTGGCGCCACGTCGACGTGTACCACCCCCGGGCGCGGGGCGCCCACGAGGCGCCCGCGGGGCGGCTGCGAGGCGGCAGCGCGGCGCAGGCCCCGGCGCGCCCCCCGAGCGCGGGGGGGCGCCCGCGAAGCGCCCGAGGGGCAGCAGGGAAGCAGGCGTCGGGAAAGCCCGGCACGCTTGATTGGGTGGACAGACCTCCTCCTCCTCCTCCTCCTCCTCCTCCTCCTCCTCCTCCTCCTCCTCCTGTCCTCCTCCCTCTCCTTCTCTTTTTTCTGCGACAAACCCTCACAACAACTCAACAAGGATAAACAGATTCATACCTATACGACCACCCTTCGGGTGATAAGGAGGTTCGGGGGGGGGGGGGGAACCAACGTCTCACTCGATCGGTCTCACTATCGATCTCAGTATCGATCTCACTATCGGTCTCGCTCGATCGATCTCACTCGATCGATCTCACAAGCGATCTCACTCGATCTATCTCATTCGATCGATCTCACAATTGATCTCACAATCGATCTCACAATCGATCACACAGTCGATCTCACATTCGGTCTCAATATCGATCTCACTATCGATATCACAATCGCTCTCACAATCAACGTCATCATCATCATCATCATCATCATCATCATCATCATCACCATGACCATCATCAACATCAACATCATCACCAACATCGTCATCATCATGAGGGCACCGTCATCATCATCATCATCATTATTATCATCATCATCATACACATCATCATCAACGTCAGCATCACCATCGGGACAGCATCATCATCACCACCATAATCATCTTATCATCAACATCATCATCATCATCATCACCGGGACACAGTCATCGTCGTCATCATCAGCAGCATCATCATAATCATCATCATAATCGGGACACCATCATGATCACCATCGTTCTCATCATCAACATTATCATCAACATCGTCATCATCCTCGGGACACCATCATCATCATGATCATCGCATCATCATCATCATCGACATCATCATCATCAACAACATCATCATCATTAGGGCACCATCATCATCATGAGCAACATCATCATCAACGTCGTCATTATCATTATTATCATCATCGGGACACCATCAGCATGGGCATCATCATCATCATCACCATCATCAACATCAGCATCATCATCGGGACACCATCATCATCATCAACATCATCATCATCATCAACATCATTAGCGCCGGGACACCATTTCCATCAACATCATCATCACCAACATCATCGGAATCATCATCATCATCATCATCATCATCGGGACACCATCATCGTCATCATCATCAACAACATCCTCATGAGCATCATCATCATCGGGACACTGTCATCATCATCGACACCATCATCAACATCATCATCTTCATCGGGACACCGTCATCATCATCTCATGATCATCATCATCACCATCACCATCACCATCATCTTCATCTTCATCTTCATCTTCATGATGATGATGATGATGGTGATGATCATCATCATCATCATCATCATCATCCTCGCGGGACACCGCGGGACACCGGCGGGACACCGCGGGACACCGCGGGACACCGCGGGACACCGCGGGACACCGGCGGGACACCGCGGGCCACCAGGCCGCCCGGAAGGGAGTCATTTGGTCCGGCCGCGCCTCAGCCACACGGGACACCAGCGGGACACCGGCGGGACACCGCGGGCCACCGGCCGCCCGCAAGGGAATCATTTGGTCTGGCCGCGCCTCAGCCACAGGAGACTTTCTCTCGCCCGCCCACGCAGCTTCGCCTCGCCCGCACGGCACGCACGAACACGAAACCGAAATCGATTTCCCGGTGGGGGGCTCTCCGTTCCACTTCGATCTCACCCTCTCACCTCCGATGTACAAACCTGCGCGGAACATCTCCTGCCAGCCCGGCTGGCCGGCCGAAGATTTTGCTCTATGCTGTAACCTCCTTCGGAAGATCTGGACGGTACGGCTGTTCACGATGTCGTTTGGCAGCCGGTTGAACACTCGTATCATGCCAAATATGGACCGTCGCAGAATAGCCGGGTGACCGGGCTCGATCGGATCAAGCAGCGCTTTGTCGTGAAATCTCCGAGCTGCTGCGAAACCAAAAGATTCCAGATGGCCATCGCCTGGACGGAACAACGCTGAAAGAGAAGGGGGAGCAAGGCCCGCAGCAACTTTGTATAGCAACCCCAGTACAGCAATATCTCCACGCATACCCAACGGAGCAATATTATGATCTCGCACAGCGGACTCTGCCGATAAGCCAGCCTCGTCTAAGAACAGAGACTGGATATCGTCAAACTGCTTCAGTGTGTTCTGGTTGGCGTGGTAGACAGCTGGAGTGGGGCCCTCGAGGTAGCACAAGACGTGGCATTTGTATAATCTGACCATCTCTTTGACGCTATAGGAACGCCTTGTCCGGAGGAGTGCTCTGAGGCGCCAGCTGGCTTCTGTGGCAAAGTGCTGCACCGCTAAATGCTTTTCCAGTCGTACATAACACTGAGTATTTTGAAGGGCCCGCCATACGGGGACTTCGTGTCTAGGATATGCATGCTCTCCTTCGACGGCTCGAACAATACCTGATTTGCAGACCCCCACGAACGCAATGCAGACTGGCATGCGCGAACTTGTTTTAGCACCATGCGGTCGCCGGTGGTGCCGCAGAACACGCGCCAACAATTCAAATCGTCAGCAAATACCGCCTCCAGGAAACCCATAGCTGATATGACCTCTCTCGCGTCAGAATAGTACACGTTTCACAAGGGCGGACCAGGCACGGTCCTCCTCCTCCTCCTCCCCTGGCCTTCTGAGAAGTGTTCGTTGCCTTTTGTTCGGGGGTGGACTGACCTCCTACCCTGACGCGTCGATTCGCGAATTGGCCGTTTTCTGTTCGCGGGAGGGCGTCGCGGCCGTCAGTTTTTGCGGGTCCGGGTCCGTCGGTTTCGGCCACAGGCCGTTTTCGCTCAAGGGAGGTTTGCTAAAAGGGAGGTTTGTCCAGGTGGCCAAGAGGGGGGTGATGACTAGCGGGGGGTGGATATCATGGCGTGGGCCATGATATTTTCTCAGTTTTCATGGCGCCTCCTCTTGTTTCATGACGTCCCTGGCCTCCCCCCTGGGCCGCGCACGTGCCGCCAGCCATGATTTGCGCCCCCCTCTTGGACGCTCCCCTCTTGGCCGCTCCCGAGATCAGTTGCTGAATGGCATCAGGTAAGATCCCCGTGTTGCAGCAACTGTTTGAGGCATCGACTCTCTCGGCGACCCGCGCGGCTTGCATGAATCGACGCTGGAACCCTCCTGGCGGCGCCTGCTGCGGCCGCGGTGCCGCCAGGCGGGGTCCATCGCCGATCCAAGACATCCGCGCGGACCTCCGAACGCGTGTGCGCATACCGATCTTCTGAATGGGCAGAAGGATGCGTACGCAGGTAAAAAGGAGGCCTCCCTCCTCCATTCGTCTCCGCTGCCGTCTTCCCCCGCTACCCTTCTCCTTCATCTTCCTCCCCTTCGTCCCTGTCCTTCGCCTGCGTCCGTCTCCTTCTTACAGCCGAGACGCTGAAACAAGGACCGCGTTGGGATCAGGAGGAGGAGAAGGAGGAGGAGGAGGAGGAGGAGGAGGAGGACAGAGCCATGCCGAGACACCGAGATTCGTGGCCGAGGCTCGCCGTTGCCAGAGAAGCCCACCCGTTCCCCACGAAGACCGCACCTTCCTCGTCATTCCAGTCCTCGCCCCCCCCCCCGACCTCGGGAGGCGCTGCTGGGCGCGATCGGCGGGGTGGCGGGCAGCTTCATCAGCGTGCCGTTCGACGTCGTGACGACGCGGATCATCACGCAGAATTGCCCGGAGGGCGAGGAGCTTTGGATAGGTGAACGGCCGTTGGCGCAGATAGTGTACTCATCCACCGTCCTTGTTTTTGTTGGCTTGTCGGGTGAAACATGTGCTCCCCGTCGTTATGAGTTTTCGAGTGTTCCATCGTGCCTTTCGTCTTAGGTGTGTATTTCGAGGACCCTGGGGCCCACCTCACGGATCTGCTCGACTCTGAGTCCATGTTTGTTCGAGTTCGGGCCAAGTTCGACCCAGGTTCGTTTCAAGTCCGACTCGAGGCGACGGACGTTCGACGCAGTGTGAGTGGAGCGAGTGGCTCCAGGAAGGTCCCAAAAACGAGCAAGTGACTCCAGGATGCCCAGGAGGCGTGGGGTCGGAGTGCGGTTTGATTTGTGTGTCAAGGCTTGCCCGCAAGGAGGTGTGATTCTTGAGTTCGGCTTGAGCTGACTGGTCGTTTTGCGTTCCATTTTCGCACGGCAGGAAGGTCGCGTCACGCTTGAATTCTGAGCGAGACAAGCGTTGATGTGGCGGTGTTTGAGGGGGGGCTCACGCTCAGCTGAGCACATGACACCCTCTCTGCGGGGCGCCGTCGGATGCCGTCATCGTTGGTGGGGTGGATATTGGAGACGACCGACCATCAGGATGATGAGGAGGCTTGAATTCGAAGTTATGTTGGGGTTGTTGGCGTCAAGGGTGGCCTGTGAGGACGCGTGATGTTGGAGTTCGCTTTGAACTGGACGGCAGCATCGTGCTGCACGCTCGCTCGCAAGGGAAACTGTCGCGAGACGCTCGAATCCTGAGCGGGTCAAGCGTGGATCGGGCCACGCGTCCGAAGAGGGTCACCCGCGTAGCTGATCGCGAGGCCCCTTGTAAGGCATCGCCGGATCCAGGCTCGCACCGTGCAGAGCTCGAGGCGTGGAGCCCACGAGAGTGGCGGCAGCTGCGCAGTTCGCCGCCGCCCAGAGAGATGCTCGAAGTTTTGGATGGATGTGCGCGCTCCCCCACTCCACTGGGCCCCCCAGGAGCCCACGAAGGTGCCAGCAGTTTTGCACTTCGCTGCCCCCCCCAGGGAACCGCGAGGCTTCGGTTGGATGTGCGCACTCCCCCACTCCGCTGGGCCTCCCGGTGGCGACCAGTGTGCAGTTCGCAGTCCCCAGGTAGATTCGAGGTTTCGGCTGGATGTGTGTACTCCCCTACTTCGTCGGGCCTCCCATGGGCTAGCGATTGTGGCGACAGTTGCGCAGTTCGCCACCCCCCAGGAAACCACGGGGTCTCGGCTAGGTGCGCGTTATCCCCGACCCCGCTGGGCATCACAGAAGCCAGCGAAAGAGTCGACAGTTGCGCAGTTCGCCGCCCCCCCAACGAGCGACGAAGTCTTGGCTAGATGTGCGTCTGGGCCTCCCAGCAGCCCACGGTCGTGGCGACAGTTGCGCAGTTCGCACAGAGACAGCCAACACAGGCGGGTTGGGAAAAAAGACGAGGAGGAGGACGAAGACGAAGGGGGATTGAGGGGAAGATCGAGGACGAGTGCTCAGCCAACCCTCTCCCCTGAGGCGCCCAAGGCCTTCGGCGAGATGGTGGGCGTGGTCTGGGAGGAGCAGGGGCTGCAGGGCTTCTTCGCGGGCTGGAAAGAGCGCGTGCTGTACTGGGGGCCCTGCGTCAGCATCTTCCTGACCACCTACTGCGTCGTGCGACAGTGGGCCCTGCCCTTCTTCTGATCCTGCTGCGCCTGGCCACGCGCGCCCCGCCCCCCCCCCCCCCCCCCGGCGCGTCCCCGACTCCCCTCCTCCTCCTCCTCCTCCTCCTCCTCCTCCTCCTCCTCCTCCTCCTCCTCCTCCTCATCACCCTTTCCTCCTCTCCTCCTCTTCCTCCTCCTCCTTCTCCTGCTGCTCCTCCTTCTCCCCCGTCGTGTCTAGGCCTCTCGACTTGGGTCGAACTGCGGTCGGCACCGAGCGAGTGGGGGAAATGAGAAGGCGGAGGCCCTCTCGGAGGGCGGCGGGGCCTGAGGAGCCTTCCGGCCTTCAGAGCTGGCTTCTGTGCCTTCGGGAGACTCAGAGAATTTCTCAGAAGGCCGGGGGGGTCTTCCGAGCCTTCTGATCGGGAGCCTTGAGACGGGGGTCACGCAAACGGGGGTCAGCCAGGGCACCGGATCATGCAGGATCCGGCGAAGACCCTTCTTTGGCTGACCCGGGTTAGCGAGCCGCTCGTGGCCGCGAGGGCGGCCGCGCATATTGGCTGACCCGGGTTTGCGAGGACCTGCGTTGCAGTTTTTGTTTTCCTGCATTGCAGATTTTTGGTTTCTTGCTGACCCGGGTCTGGATTGAGCAGGCACGTCCCGCCTCATGTCCCCCACTTCCTTCGCTCGCCGCGGATGCGGAGATGGGGTCGCTGGAGGATCGCGCGCAGCAACGTGGAGCCCGACTCCGTCCTCGGAGGCGGCGCGCGATGCACCGATGATGCGGCGCGATGATCTTCTGACCCCATGCGTTCGGCCCCGTGTTTGGGAGGCACACTGTTTCACAGCGTTCACGAGTGCCCTCAGACCCGCCAAGTACATCCTCTAGACTCTCCAGATCTCAGAGATCCCTGCTCGGCCCCGTGTTCAGGAGGCACCTTGTTTCAGAGCGTTCACGGGTGCCCTCAGACCCGCCAAATGCATCCTCCAGGCCCGCCAGATCAGATCTCAAAGATTCCTTAGCCTTCCCTGTCCGATGCTCGTCCCTGTCCCGGCGTCGTCTCACTCTGTCTCGGGGGACGAAGTCTATACATATCCACTGCTCCCTGGCCAGGCCCATCCTGAACCCAGGAGCTGTGTATGCGCCCTTCTGGCCAAGCCAGGAGGGCGTGGCGCATACACCGCTGCGGGGTTGAGGATGGGCCTGGCCAGGGAGCAGTGGATATGTATAGACTTCGTCGCCCTATCTGTCGCCGCCCTCTCCCCGTCCTCTTTCGCGGCCTGCATGCCTGGAGGATGCTGCAGGAACAGCAGGCTACGATGTCCTGGATCGGCCTCCGGGCCTCCCGCGCGGCCCAGAACGCCCTCCGGCTCGCGCCTGCCTCCTCGCCTCTGCCCTGCTCCGCCTCCTCGAGGGCCTCCAAGATTCGGAGCGTGAATCACCTACCCCGCTTTCGCTTCCAGGCAAAACCAAGTCATACCACGCGCCTCCTCGTCAAGCGGCCTGACCAGTACAGGCCGTAGGTTTGCATCGTTTTGGTATCTCTTGGAAGCGAGGGTGGTCAAAAGCGAGGTAGGTTTGGTTTCCCCCTAAAGATGGAGGTGACGACTACAGTCAGTGGACTAATTTACTAGTGCGAATTTGCCGTGGGCAGCTGGAACGCTCGCGCTCGGTAAGAGCGCATGGCCGCAACCTGCGCGGTGTGCGGCTGGAAACGCTCGCGTTGGGTAAGAATGCATGGTTGGAACCAAAGCCGTGCGCGGCTGGAACGCTCGCGCTTTATGAACATTCAAGGCTGGAACTCGTGGGCGGCTGGAATGCTCCCGCTCGGTCAAAGTGCATGGCTGGAACCCTCGCCGTGTACGTCTGGAACGCTCGCGCTTGGTAAAAACGCATGGCCGGAACACACGCCGTGGGCGGCTGGAACGCTCTGTGAGCAGAAACCCCAAATGTGGGCGGCTGGACGCGTTGGGTTAGAATTAAGGACTGGAACCGACACCGTGGACGGCTGGAGCAGTTTCATTTGTAGAAATGGAGGGCTGGAACCAACCCTCCTTGTCGGTATCAGCGGCTGGGACACTTTCCCCCGTCAGCATTGAGGGCTTGAAGTTCACCCAGTTTAGGGCGTGCAGGTATAAACATGTCGGGGGCAGGGGGGACGGGCCATGTGTGGGGGTCCTGGTACTTACGGGGCTAGACTTATGATGTTCCAACCTACTTTAGCCCTGATCACCAGGAAGAATTCCGAGCGCCAGAAGAAAGAACCGAAACTCGATGGCTTTCGCGTGTCGGGCCCTGGGAGACACTCGCCCGACACTGCTCCGACGCTCTTTCGACACTTTTCCGGGTGCTCGGAACTATGTCTCAAATGTGGTCCTGAATCAGGAGGGGAAAAACACACACACAGACACAATTTCAGCGTCCATTCCCCAGAAAATATGGGAAAATATGGGAAGTCGGGGGGAAGACAAAAACCCAGGGGCATATGTTTATTTGTGTGTATTTATGTGTGTGTGTGTGTCCTGGGGCCCCTTCACTGAAGTAGGATGGGGACAGCATAAGGCTGGACAAACACACCACGACCACCACGTGCATAGTCTTGGAGCCCGCAGCACGGCGTCCGCGCCTCGCTCCCAAGCTGGCTCCGTGCGCGCTCGCCTGTCGGTCCCCCTCGGACCCTCGGTCGTCGTCGTCTCGGCCCGCTGTTCGGTCGGTCCGTCGGTCGTCGTCGGTCGTCGCCTCGGTCGGTCGGTCGATCGGTCGTCGTCGATCGTCGTCGTTTCTCGGGGGTGGACAGACCTCCTACCCTGACACGTCGAGTAGGGATTTTACCGTTTTCGGTTCGCGAGAGGGCGTCGCGGCCGTCATTATTGCGGGTCCAGGTCCGTCGGTTTCGGTCCCAGGCCGTTTTCATTGAGGGGAGGTTTCCTAAAGGGAGGTTTGTCCACCGCCGAATTTCGGTCGGTCGTTCGGTCCGGTCGTCGGTCGTCGGTCGTCGGTCTGTCAGTCTTCGTGGTCGGTCGTCCTCGTCCAGGTCGTCAGTCGTCGGCTCACAGACAGACTCCGCCCACGCCGTGGCGCGATCTGAATGGGGGCCATTGGAGGCAAAGCCGCTACGGATGCAATGAGCTTGAGAACAAGACGTTCGGCCCCAAATTTGCCCGATATGATCTGCTCATTCAGATTTCCCCGCCAGCAATAGTCCACTGACTGTATGGGTGTGTGGATACCATGGCCTGGGCCATAATGACCCAAGTTTCTTTGCCCCCTTCTCTTCGAACACGCCCCCATGCCCCCGCGCACATGCCCCTGGCCATGTTGCGGTAAACCATCTCTTCCCCGCTACTTTTTTTTGCTCGGCGCACCCGAGCCTCCCTCCCTCGAAACATCTGCATAAGCAGGCACTGTTTGGCGGCGCGCAAAGGGGGGTAGGGTAGGGGGAGGGGGGAAGGCGTCTTAGACGCACCCCTGCTTCTTAGCAGGCGCGGGCCTTCTCTCTATGGACGTAAAGCCGAGGCCTTCTAGGAGGCAGGGTGCTTCTAGGAAGCCTTCCCCCCTCCCCCTGCCCCCCTCTGCGCGCCGCCAAACTGTGGGAGGTCCGCGCAGCTGTCTTGCATCGGCACTTGGGGCCCCCCTGGCCGCGCCTCCGGCGCCGCTCCCGGCGGGCTCCGCGTGCGCCAGGGGAGGAGCGGCCCGGCGCCGACCCGAGGCTTCCGCGCGGAGCTCCATCTCGGGGGCGGCAAAGAGGGGGGTGATGGCTAGGGGGGGCTGGATATCATGGCGGGGGCCATGACATTTCCCCAGATTCCATGGCGACCCTTCTTATTTCATCACGTCCCTGGCCCCCCCGCTGGGCCGCGCACATGCCGCCGGTCACGATTTGCACCCCCCCCCTCTTGGCCGCTCCCGAATCAGTTGATGGGTACTTGGCATCGCTCGGACGTGTGCATTTTTTCTCGGCGAGAGCCATCGGGGACCATCCTGGACCATCGTTCAAAAAAAACGCACGACACCGAACAAAATGCACAGGACAAATGGACGTCCGAGCGACGGCAAGGTGATGTGCTGCTTTCTGCTCCTGTCTTCGGACAGCAACAGTCCGGTGGATGCAACCAGTCGCCATACCGGTAGCGATTGCCATTCGTTGCGCGCGTGCAGGAGCCGCCATTCTGACAGGGCCTCCTTGTGCACCGCGATAGATATCTGGATGGATGTTGCAGCCGCTGATCGGATGTCCAGCCTCGACTGCTTTCCTCTTCCCCCTCCTGCTTCTCCTGCTCCGCGCGCTCTTGTGGCTGCTAACCTGCCGTTGCTGTTTTCGTCCTTCTCCCTTCTCGTTCTCGTGCTTCGCCTCTGTTTCACAGTAGCGTTGAGTGTTTCTACATGGAGCGCCCTCTCTGAGGAGTCCTGGCTGTGAGCACATTTAGTTTCTTCTCCAGCCTCGGCCCGGTTCCAGTCAGGGAGAGGCCTGATCCCTTCTGGGGGGGGGACCCCTGCTGCAAGCCCGTACTGAACATGATTGCCCATGGAGAGGGCACTGGACAATGAGAAATCACCAGGCAGTTCGCACCCTGACCCCCGCCAGGCCAACGCCACGGGGCGGGCATCTGCTGGCGCAGCACATTGCCATTGAGCAGAACAGGGTGCGCCTTCGGACCAGACTGCTAACCAAGTATCCGCACCCACCCTCTTTACATTGCAGCTCAAATGTCTTCACCCAGCTGATTGAAATTGCCACCAATATCTCATCGCTCTGCTTCCTGAATCTGAAACCCGCCTATTCACACACGCGCCTGGAACTAGAGCGCTAATGTCCTCACCCACTTTGAGCATCTTGTCCAACATGCCGAACATTGCCACTCCTCACCTCCTCACCCACCCGGTTAAGTTTACCATTGAAGCGTTTACACCCGATCGCCCAAAATTGCACCTGACATTTCTTCATACCGTTGAGATTTGCTGTCTGACAGATATTCACTCATCCGTATAAACTTGTCACTCGAAAATCCTCACCCAAGCGCCTAGATCCTTACATACGCGCCTAAGCTAGGTAATCCAGTATCCTCACAGTACCTATGCGCTTAAAGCTGCGACCCACACATTTTCACATACGTGCCCAGAACATGCAATCCGCACATCCTTGCCCAGTATTTGCAATCCAAAACTCACTCAACCGATTGAGATTGCCTCTGACAACGTCCTCACACGCGGGCCTGACACTGTCCCCTAACTATCCTCACACGTCCGATTGGACTTGCAATCCTCGCTACGACACAGGCGTGCGTCAGATCCGCCGACCCCTTGAATGAGGTCGTTCGTGGGTCTGGCTTGAGCGGAGTGCCTGGTCACTTGGTGGTATTGTTGGAGGGAGTATCGGATGTTTCGTGGGATTGCAGGCATGTTTCGTGCCTGGTCACTTGGTGTTGTTGGTGGTCAGTTCAGGATGTTCCGTGGGACTGCAGGAACGCCACAGACAGACCCCATGCGCAGCAGTGAATTCGATTTTTTGTGGGCCATCACCCTGATCTCTCTCTCCTCGGCAGTTTTTTTAGCCATTCCCAAGCATCTCGTCGCACGCTTTGCATTCGCCATGTGGAGGTAACGGAAAGAGCGAGGCACGAGTAATGACGTTCTAGTGTGGGGCGAAGCCCTCCAGGGAGGGGTTCCAGGGGAGGGGCGAGGGCCGGGCGCAAAAGTCTAATGGTAGTTTTCGGGTTGCCCTTGGGTTTTTGCATGTTTTTCGGGTTCCCCCCCAAGACGGCCCAAGAGCGCTCCAGGAGAGCCCAAGACCGCCCAAGACGGCCGAAGAGGCCTCCAAGACGCCCCAAGAGGCGCCCAAGGGGCGTCGCAAGAGGGCCCCAAGAGGCCCAAATTTTGGATTTCCCAAAAGGAAAACGCACATTTTGAGCATACGCGACTTTTCGGCCTTCACGGCGTCGCCGACGGCCCAAGAGGCCCCCAAATACGCCCCAGGACGGCCCGAGAGGCTCCCAAGAGGCCCCTAAAGAGGCTGACCACGTCGATTTTTGCGGCCAGGGGGGGGGGTGAGCCGCTGGACTGCAAATGTCTGTTCTTTGGCGCGCTTCCAGCGCGCCTACTCCTTCTTGGCCGTGCCTTGGGACGCGCCTTGGGTGCCCTTCATGCCGAACCACCCGCCCAACATTGCAATCCACATGTCCTTAGCCGCGCGCCCAGCCCTTCAACCCACGTGTCCTCAATCATGCGCCTCATCCGCCTGCCAAAACTGCCACTCATGAGCCCAAGCTTGTAGCCCACGTATCTTCACCCACTCGCATAAGATTGACACCCAGATGTGCCCACCCAATGAGCAACCAACATATCCTCACCCCCCACGCTCCTCAAATTACAACGCCCGGCTCAAACTGCCACCAAGACATCCTCACCGACAAGCCCAAAACGGTGACCCAAAGATCCTCATCTAACCGCCCGAATCCTTACCCCCCAGGGTGCAAAACCGACATTTGACGACTCTGGCGAGTTCAGTCAGTCATTCAGTCAGTCACAGGTCACTTCTTTCAAATAATGAATAATTACGGGCCACGCCCGTAAAACTTGATTGGTCGGCCGCGTATGGCCTTGCGGCGAAGGAGGGGGCCAGGACTTTCCCTGTTGCCCAGCGGAGTTAATGACGTGCTGCCGGTTTCAGTGACGCACAGATGCTCTTTGCTTCGGCGCCGCTAAAAAGAGTAGGCGAGCATGCCCTGGACCGTTCCGCTAGAGGTGCATGTTCGACGAGTTGTCCCCTTGGAGCGTGAGGCAGTGGTGGGGCAGCACTCGGAGCCAGCTTTGGGGGCCGAGGTGGCCCAGCAATGGCTCTGGCCAGGAGAAGTGGCCCCCCTCGTCGCTGCGGCTGGACCGGGCTCGAAAATATTGTAGGGTTCGATCTTGGCATGGGTCGGGGGCGGCAAAGAGGGGGGTAATGACTAGGGGGGGGTGGATATCATGGCGTTGGCCATGATATTTCCCCAGATTTCATGGCGCCTCTTCTTATTTCGTTACGTCCCTGGCCCCCCCGCTGGGCCGCGCACATGCCGCCGGTCATGATTTGCACCCCCCCCTCTTGGACACCCCCCTCTTGGCCGCTCCCGACTATTGAGACAGATATTCAGCGGATTTGCCTTCGTCCCCCCTTCTTGACTGACTTCCTCGGGCTTCATCCAGCACAGACCCCGTCGTCGTTTGCAAGGTGGGGTGGACGGAAAAGGTTGACGAGGACGAACACCAGGGGCAGGCGAATTTCTGGCGACAGCTCGATGCCATGAAGCGGCGGTTGACACGGCAGCGGCTTTATTTTCTATTTCTCGGCTTTGCGCAGGTGCTTGGGGCGATTCAGGACAGACCGATGTGTGCAGGGTATCAAGCGTTTTGAGTGTTGGAGAGGCCTTACGGCCAGTGATGCCGACCCTGAACGACGACGGTGACGACGACGACGCCGACGACGACACTTGCGGCGGCGGCGGCGGCGGCGAAGTCGACGACGACGCTGACGCTGACGACGACGACGACGACGACGACGACGACGACGACGACGAGCACTCTCGGATGCCTCTTGAGGGGTATTTTTGGGGCCCTTTGGAAGGCTCTTGGGGGGCGAGCACTCTCGGATGCCTCTAAGGGGTATTTTGGGGGCCTCTTGGAAGGCTTTTAGGGGGCCTCCTTGGGGATCCCTCGGGGTCCTCTTGCGGGCCTTTTTGGGGGGGGCTCCTTGGGGGCATCGGGGGGGGGGGGGCCCTCCGGCGGAGGGATCGCAATGCCCGCTCGGGTCCCCCTCCCCCCTTCCTCCCCCTCCCTCCCTCCCTCCCTCCTCCCTCCCTCCTCCCCTCCCTCCCTCCCTCCTCCTCCCCCTCCCTCCCTCCTCCCTCCCTCCTCTCTCTCTCCCTCCCCCCATCCTTCCCCCCTCACTCCCCCCTCCCTCCCTCCTCCTCCCATCTCCCTCCCTCCTCCCCCTCCCCTCCCTCCCCCCTCCCTCCAGTCTCCCTCTTGGAGCAGTCTTGGGGGCCTCTTGGGCTGTGTCGGAGGCCTCTTGGGCGGTTCGGGGGGGCCCTCTTGGGTCGTTTTCGGGTCCTCGTGGAGGCTTCTGGGGCGATCGTCCGGGCCTCTTGGGCTGCCTTGGAGCGTCGGGAAGCCGAGAAGGCGAGAACCCCGAAATCTTTCAAACACTTGACGGCAATGTGTAAGTGCTGCCCATTGGGGCCCCTTTAGGAGTGTTCTTGGAGGCCTTTTGGGGTGTGTCGAAAACCTCTTGAGCCGTCTGGAGGCTTCTTTGACATGTTGGACCGAGAATTGGACGATTCGGGGCCCTCGAGGACCGTCTAGGGGGCCTTTTGGGGCACTCTTGCCGCGTCTTGAGGCTTTTCTGGGCCCCAGAACTGCCGCGTCCTACCCCCAGGGACCCCCCCCCCCCCTGGCGGGGCAGGAATCAAAGTACAGGGGCTTCCCTTCGACTCAGCTACGACGTTGCTCAATGTCAGTTTGGCTGGCGCGCTTAAGGATGAGGGCCCAGGGAAAGGAGACGGGGGACGACGGAGACGACGATTGACCGAGAAGACAAGGAGACGATGGAGACGCAGACTACCGAGTAGACGACGAAGAAACGACGGAGACGACACGACGACGGCGACCGAAGGAAGAGCGTCTCCCACACGCCAATAGCGGCAGATTTTTCGATGAGCTCCCAGTGCGCACATTTCCTCGCAAATGCACCCTGGAGTTTGGGCGGGGGCCGCTTCCGTGGAGTGATAGACCAACCTGACAGTGGGCGCCGAACGTCTACGCACATCCGCCATAACGAAGGTGGGAGTGGCTTGAGACACATGTCTGTCTCCTTTGTTGTCACTGCGCCGTCGATGCAGCACGCTTCCATGCTTGTTGAAACCATGATGGTCAAACGATATATGTGTGCGTAAAGACCGCTCTCGTGTCCAGCTAAATGCGGTAACTATGTTCCACCACAGTGCCAGCGCAGCGGCCTTTTGGCATCGCTTGGAGCACCGCGGGGCTAGCTGGGTGAGCGGTGAGTGGTTCTCGCTGGGCCGCCTTGGGCCAAGTTGGACCCCTGTGGGGCCGTCCTGGGACTCCTTTTGGGACCCTCCTGGTCGGTCTTGGGGCCCTCTTGGGCCGTCTTGTGCCGTCTTGGCTGGGCCCTTCTGGTCCTCCAGGGGGTTGCAAGGCCTACACCCTAGGCGATGCTTAAGAAAACTTGAGTTTTCGGCCAGAGTCTCGATGATTCTTGATGTTTCAATGTAAACTCCACGATATCAATAGAACTTCCTTGGGCTAGTTCATTCACATTCTGAGACTCTGCATTTCTGAGCCCATGACTTCTTGAGCATTTCGCAAGGCGTGCAGACACGTCTGCCATGCAGCACTTGTAGGGGAACAAAAAGCGGCATAAAC